ACAAGTCAATAAATGATTTTGCTAATATATTATTTTGAATAAAAATTAAAAAAATATAAAAACAAAAAGAATGAAATTAATAAATTTTCTTCATTCTTTGTTTTCTTCTTCTATTAATTATTTTTTCTATTATTTGAATAAAAGATGTATCGTGTGTAATAGATTAAATAGATAGATAATTTATATAAATATATAATTATACGTTTTGAAATTTATATAATATATATATATATATATTAATTTCAATATATACATATATATAAATTATTATTTATCTATTACATACGATACGCCTTTTATTCAAATAATAGAAAAAATAATAGAAAAAAATAATAGAAAAAACAAAGAATGAATAAAATTTATTCATTTTATTTTTATTTGTTTTTATAAAATTTTTATTCAAAATAATATATTAGCAAAATCATTTATTGCGACTTGTAATCATAATATTACGCTAATCGATGTACAGCATTTATCTTATAAGATTTCCATATGTGTTACTACCTCACAATACTATTATAAATAAATGTGAAATTTAATTTGCATTACTTTTATATTTTTTATATATAATGAGCAGATGTAAAATATTTCTCATTCGTGTGCGTAATATATTGGTTTTGTATTTATACTGATTTTACACATATCAAATGCAAGAGAGACAAAGATAGAATGATACTCTCTCCTTGTCAAGCTGTCAGTATGTTACCACGAAAATTTCCCCATGAGTATAGATCTAGTGAGATTTGTTCATCCCAAATATTCATAAAAAGAAGTTACGTAGCTTCGTGAAATATTTTTTAATATATTCTTTATTATATAAAGCAGGAAACAAAGAGTCAAATTTTGCATTATTGCTTTAAAAATTTATAATAAATTAATACGATCTCGTGGCTAACCCAACCTTACCCGCTGCTAGCTGCGCATCTTCCCAAGTTATATTATGAATTTTATATTATCTTTTTTCCAAAAAATCGATCTTTGTCTCCCTGCGGACAATCCTACTGATTAAGAATATCGTAAATTTAATAAGATTCATTAAGTATTTGGCTAATATATGGGATGAACGAATCCGTAAGTCCCGGCCGGCGATAGGCGTCTCCACCATGTCGCCTG